GGAGGTTTTGACTGAAATGAGATTTTTTTCTTAACAAATATCCCATTTTGCTATGGCATCCAACATAACATTAAATTTAACATCGTGATAAGTGAAAATGTCATAGATTTCATATTGTCAGTAATGTAATAGAAATATTAATAACACCCAAGCAAAGGACAAAAGGAACGTGTTCCTATTTGTATATGCCATTTTCTATTAGCTCTCGGGCATTGGAGGCGCTGCATAGCTGGAAGGATTATTGAACTTCCCAGGTAGTTGCAGCCACTTACAGCTTGGGGTTGTGTCTCAGAATCTTGCCTGAAGGCTTCATCAATTGCCAGTAATGCAAAGCTTGTATCATATTGTTTAATTATTCATTTTTCTCCCTGTCCGTGCTGTGCTAAGCAGATAGGAAAGGCTTTAGAAGAGAACTTATTCAAAATGTGCTGATCACTGGGAAGTGTCAGAAAACTGAACTAAAAAACTCCTTGAATAATGGTGGTTAGGCAGAACCTGAAGTGAAGATGTGCATCTTCAGTGCTCAAGGAAGATCTTTTTCTATTGATGTAAAGGATGAAGTGTCTTGTAAGACTGGCACTCTTTCAGGAAGAGAGCAGGAGAGCCCATCTTACAGCACAGGCGAAAAGCTGCCTAAACCCATCATGGTACTAAAGTATAAAGCAGGTCTGCCCTTTGGCTACAGTTGATTATTCACGGTGGAAGGGATCATTAGAATGTATTTTGGCAACATAAGCTATTGTTGTGTGTTCTTTCTTCATGTCCGTAAATCTCTCTGTGCTTAAGAAAAGCTAAAGGACCAGGAAGAAAGGCAGAGTTATGGATTATACATAGAAGTATAAAGCATGAAACCCCCCAGGAGGTTTTGCTGTCATCATCTTCTCTATCCCAAAGCACACTGGGGACCTGCTTCCTGCAAAGAAATGTTATTGATGATCTTTTCAGAGCTGATCCTCTTCTCATAATTAGAGAAGTTAGACATATGGGCACCAGAATAGCTACTGCAGTTCCTGACGTGTTTAATTTTTATATTTTACATCAGGAATCTCTTATATAGTTTTTTTGTCATTTCTGACAAAACTATTTCCATGACAGCTAACACTGTCACAAATTCAAGGGTGGATGGGTCCAACCTAAGAAATCATGTTCTGCAGTCAGACCTCTTCCTATGAGGTATTTGGCATCCAGGCTTTATACTTAGGTTTATCTCTAAAGTATAGTTTTACTGCCAGGAAAGAAAAAGACTGCTAAAATGCACTAGAACAAGTTGGGAAAGAGTTAGTTAAATGAAGGCAAGCATCTTGCCCCACAGAACCGGAGTCCAGGCTCAGGACTGGCAGCACTAGCAGCTTCCTAGCCAGATACTCACCATTGCCCAGGGGTGACTGACTCACTGGCCTATCTCTATTGCCAGGGAGAGAGATAGGCTGGGGGGCTGCCATGTGCCTTGGCTATCATCTGGGAGAAGAAAGCAAATGCAAAAGCAGAAAAGCAAAGGGACCTGGGGGAGGCTGCTTCACTCTAGGGGGAGGGGGTCCTGTCTGGTTGTACACTATTTGGAGTGCTGAAAGGCTCATGCTGTGTATGGCAGTGGCAACACAAGCTGAAAAGAAAGCTCCTTTCCATTCCAGAGGAAAAGTAAATTTCACCAGCTATTCCAATCTGAAAATGAAAATTTTCCAGTCTCCCAGATATTATTTTTTTAAACAAAGGATTCTTTAATCTCTACGCCACTCTGGGGATGTGTTACGTGCATTTCAGTGGCCTTTATTTTGCCAGGGCCGAATTCTAAATGAGAACTGAGCTCTTGGGGTCTGAGAAAAAGCTTCTATAAAAGGGCTGTGGCCAAAGATGGGCTCCAGCTTTCTCTTAGAAGCTTCATTCATCTGGCTATCATGCTAAGGAAGATTCACAGCTTCAGGTAGGTGTCTGCCACACAGCCCAGGAAGGGCAGCACACCCACAGGCAGAGCACAGCTTATTAGCCACATGCTTTAAATCTGCGCTTTACATTCAGTTCCACTTACCTGTCCCATCTTCCTGTCCATTAGAGATTCAAAGGGGCTCTCCTGCATTCTTTATGTGACTAAACCCATTTCCATGACCTGGCTTTAGCAGGAGTCTAGGTACATTTGTACTCAAGACTACTCATGGTCATCCAACCACTGGCTTGACAGATCTAGCGAAGAGGAAAGGTACGTGCTCCTGCCATAGCCATCCTATGCCTGCTGGACTTGGGTGCTAAGGACCTCAGCACAGTAGGTGCTACTGAATTTGGCTCACAAAAAAGTTTTGGCAACTGTTTCAAATGTGGGACTTCTGCCTAACCTGTCTGCCAAGGATTTCAGGCTCCTGACATGGGAGATGTTATTGGGTTGGGTTGAAATAGCAAAGAAAACAGTTATGCTACTCGCTATTCCAAATCCAAAGCTTGCTATATTAGCTTAAGCTTTACATTCTGAGAATGAGCAAGAGCTTGCAAAAGTAACGGCCTACCAAAAAAAGCAAGAATTCTTGTGTGAAGTAATTGAACACTTTTCTCCCCAGATCACTGGTATGCCCAGTTATTCAGTTTTCATACTGCCATTCCTACCCTGACTATTCATTTCCCTTTTACTACCTGCTATCCTTCCTAACCGTTTTTCTCACATATTGCCACAGGTCTCTGTGTCTCTGTTACAGACCTCTCACAGACTCCAGGGCTCTCCAGCTGATGTTTATTCCCAGCTAGTTCCAGGCCCTGCACTCCTCCGCCTTGTTCTCAGTATCCATGGGAACATCTTTATTGTCCCACGGCTCAAAACAGGGATTCAGTGTCCACCTTCCCTTTAGAGATTCACTCCTCATCGTCTGCATGAGAGAGGGCTCTGCCTTCCTACATGATGCAGAGTTTGAGAATAGGCTTTTCTACATCAATTCTGTATTCTTGTGTCCATCTTCTAAGTTGAAAAACTCTTCCTTTGCCAGGATATGTACAGACGAGCTTTTTTCCCTAAGCCTTTGGCTGGCAGAAGCAAAGCCATTGAAGGCAATTTCTCAGCTGCTGTGTGTACTCCCTGCCACCCCAGAGCTGGCCATGATCATTTGCATTTGCTTCCTCCCCACCACAGCACCACGTCCCCACAGTGAGGTATTTGGGGAAATGTTCAAGGGCAAATACTGCTGCTTCTTCTGGGGAGACTGGGACAATGGTCTGAACCATTACCCTGCAGCCCCAGTAAGTGCTGTTACCTAAGTCAAACCTGGTGAAAGACTTGGGATCATTTTCTTCTTTTTACACTTAGAAAGCTGGATGAAGGAGGGACATGCCTGAAGCTCCTGCCCACCGGGCACTACCACTCTTTAGTAACTCAGTGTACATACCAAGTCCTAGTCCTAGGAAGCTGATTCCCGAGGACCTGTGCCTGCCTCTGGGGTACTTTCTGCATGGCAAATCCAGCAGAATGGAGCCAGTCAAGCTATCCAAGATTTTCATTCACTTGCTGTTTCTCAGCAGGGGTGCACCATTCTCTTCACCCCCATTGACATCAGGGAGATCCATAAATCAACTGCACAGTGATAGCACAGCCCTCCCAATGCTCATTATGCATTTCGTTGCTGGAGGAAAGCACCAACTTTGGTGCCAAGTACATTAGGGAACATGCCTGGGTTTAAAAATTCTCCATGGGAGGGAATCACAACATTTCCGAAGCTTGGCCTCTTGCATCACAAAAGCAGAGCATGCTCCTCACCATGTCTCTGGCGATAACAAAAGTCCAAGGCCAAAACCCGAAATGAACAGCTGTAAACCAACAAAGCTGTCACTGGATCTTGTACACAGTGTTTGTTGCCACAATCTGTTCCAGAGTCACCATCTCAGATTTCCCTGCCAGAATGATGGAAATATAAATAGGGGCTATAAACCCAAAGTATTTCCAGATCATACATCCAAAGGATAGAAATTATAGTCTCTTAGTAAGGAAAATGTTCGAGGGTAGTGAGGTAATGGGACCTGGTTACAGAGCTCATTTCTGTGAAAAACTTTCATACAGTATGGAAATTTTTCCGATGTCCTTGATGCAACCTCCATTAAAGTATAAAATAATCCCCTGTTTCAGTGGAAAAGCCCCCTCCATGCCTTCAAGAACGAACTGTTGAGCTCCATTTTGGGAACAGTTTCTTTTCCAGCTGCTGTTCCCAGAGATTCCTGAATGGCTCCAAAGACACAGCATCAGCAAGGAATGAAATCTGGCTGTTTGAAAGCCAATCCATCGCCTGTTGGCTTAGCTAGAAAAGGACCTTGCTTTTCTGTGTGTTTGCTGCTGTGGAACCATAGGAGTCCCAGCTCTAGTCTCACTAAATAATATTCTGGAAGTCCATGCCCTGAGTCACAGCACTGGATGAGGGACTCTGCTCATTTGATTAATTACATTACCATGCCTGCCCTTTACTTGTTGACTCACAGCCGTGAGAGCCTGGGATGTGCTGCGTATGTAGTAAACTGACTAAAGGGGTAATGTGTGTCAATGTATGGATGTGTACAATAGCTTTTTGAAATCCCTTATGATCTTCCCACCCACCGGGCATTGCTTCAATATCCAGTTCAATCATCAGGAAATAAACTTGCTCCCTCATCTGCGTCGCACATTGCAATGAGCTTGCCAAATATGGCCACGCTTTTAGAAAGAAAAGAGAATCCCCCCACCAGTGAATTTATGACCCTTGGCTCCGCTTGTGGCTTGTTCCTGTGCATGCCTGAGTGACATGGAAACTGCAGCAAATCTGTTTGGCCTGATTCTGTGCTCTCACACTTGCAGCTATGTTGGATTTTTCCCCTTTTAGATGACTAGATTTTTTTGTTTGGTTTGTTACCTCCAAATGCAAGCAGTCCATGACGAACAGCCCAAAGGAGAGCAACATATGTTAATGAAAAGAAAGGGAAGGATGAAAAAGGAACAAGGGGAGGCTGGAAGTGTTGGTGAGCATTTGAAAACAAAACTTCATCCCCCTTGTCTCTTGCAGATCTTTCAAGCCGGACTTTGTCCTGATTCGGCAGCATGCCTATAGCATGGCGCTGGGAGAGGACTTCCGCAGCCTCATTATTGGCCTCCAGTATGGTGGCATTCACACGGTCAACTCCCTCTACTCCATCTACAACTTCTGCAGCAAGCCCTGGGTGGTAAGTGCCAAGCCACCTCTACTGCATGCCAACACTGCAAAGTCGAGCTGGTACCAATAAAGCACTAAACTCAGCTTCCAGCCATGGGAATTCATCTCTTTAGGTTAAAAACACCATCTAAATACCTTAGGAATCCTGCTGGGAATTCTTGGGGGGAAAGCTAGCAACACTGCTCCTTTGCCAACCCTGTAGCATTATGTCAAGGTGTTCTTTCCTCACCCTGAGTAAGATGCTTCACCTGTCCCAAACTCTAATGTGTCACAAACAGCTAACAACTAAGCAAGACTTAGTTTACTTGTAAGGCAGAGTAGGTGAGTAGTAATAGATTGATAATATCAGCTCAATAGCAGCATGTCTCTGTCCTGACCAAAACACAATAAAAATACCTTAAAACAAACATTTGCTTTTTTACAAGGTATCTGAATCATGCTATTTCTAGCATCCTTTATCAGATGCACACTTGTGGTAACCAGGTGCCCCAGCCTAAGATTATCCATTCTTTGCAAAAGTAAAAACTGCACTTGTCTTCTCTTCCTACTTTTCCTGGCTATTGCTTTGTTCTGAGGAAATTATACTAAAAGAAAGGCAAGAAATGTAGAAATGATTTCTTCAGCCACTAGGTCTAGGAAAAAATAAAGGAATTTAGAATGACAGAGGTATGGGAAAGAGGCAGAAGGAAAGCGGAAAGAGTGTCGTACTGGGTTTGTGTGGCAAGGTTTTGGTAGCCAGGGGCCTGCCAGGGTGTCTTCTATGAGAAGCTGCTAGAAGCTTCCCTCATGTCAGATGGAGCCAATGCCAACTGTCTCAATGCTGGCTGAGCCCATTAGCAATGGTGGTAGCACCTTGGGATAAAGTATTTAAAAAGGGAGCAAAACTGCTATGGAACAGCCAGAAAGGAGAAATTAAAATACGTGAAACAGCTCTGCAGCCCCTAAGGTTGGTGAAGATGGAGGGAAGGAGGTGCTCCAGGCACTGCAGTGTGTCCAGAGAAGGGCAATGGAGCTGGTGAAGGGTCTGGAGCACAAGTGTGATGAGGAACAGATGAGGGAACTGGGGGTGTTTAGTGTGGAGAAGAGAAAGCTCCCAGGGACCTTATCTCTCTCTGCAGCTACCTGAAAGGAGGATGGAGTGAGGTGGGGTTGGTCTCTTCTCCCAGGTAACAAGTGACAGGACAAGAGGAAATGGCCTCAAGTTGTGCCAGGGAAGGTTTAGATTGGACATTAGGAACAATTTCTTCACCAAGAGGGTGCTCAGGCATTGGAACAGGCTGCCCTGGGCAGTGGTGGAATCACCATCCCTGGAAGTGTTCACAAACCGTGTAGATGAGTCCCTCAGTGACATGGGTTAGTGGTGGCCTTGGCAGTCCTGAGGGAACAGTTGGACTTGGTGATCTTAAAGGTCTTTTCCAACTGAGTTGATACTATGATTCTATGACCCTGGTGACCAGACAAAGAGCTTCCGCCTTTACACCGTCTTTTGCTGAGGAAGACAGCCCTGTGGTTTATCCTATCTGATTTTGGGGTTGAGTCAGTCAGGATTTAGTTGGCATTTTTCAACTCACGCCTTGTAATTATGTTTCTGATGGTGTACAAGGGACTCAAGATGTGACAGGCCTATTTTTAGGAGCCTAAAATAAAAGAAAACAAACAAACTCAGCACATTGGGTTAAAAAAAAAGAAAGAAAAGAGAAGAAAAAGTAGGGCTGGCAAGGCAGTGTGGGAGAAATTGGCTCTGCCAGTAACTTGGCTGTAGCTATTCTGGGTGCAGTTGTGCCATGCTTTCCTCATGGGGAATACAGCTGGCACAGACAGCCTTCCTAGACAAGTCAGGGAAACCACTTGTAAACACTTAAAATACGTTTGCAAAATGCCTCCTTTCCCTACTGCCCTTGCACACACTTAACCCCCAAACACGACTGTAGCGCACAGGGTAATCTAAGAGCTCAGATGGGACCTGAGCTGGTATTCGGCACCCTGGACATTTTACGAGGCTGAAGCTCAGGTAGAAAATGTGATGGAGCATTTGAGGGCAGAAAGCTTCAGAGGCAGCAGAATGAGAAAGCTGATTTTGCGGTATCTACCTCATTTAGAGATAGGGACAGAGTACCCCGGTGCATATTCCACTCTGATTGCAAAACAGGCATCTCAAATAAGGGATCTGCTTACCACAGATTACTGGAAACTTTCTGGACCTAGAAAACAGTTGAGATACATGAAGAAATGAAACTAAATACCCCTGGGAAATGTGCTTTTCACTCTCCCTTTTTATTCTTTCCAAAAATGGTTCCATTTCATAGAAATGTTTATGATTTTCTGGAGGGTGGATGGAAGTGAGACTGTTTTTCCTTGGCAATTTGCAACAATGTTTTTTTTCAGCAACTCTAATTACAATCAGCTGAGTTTGTGGTTTGAGTTTACTCAAACATGCAGCCCCATTTCTTAATGACATTTGCCAGGTTTCCAGTACTGAAATACACAAATTTCTTCAAAGGTTAAAATTTGCGTTAAATGCGGGCGCAGTTTGCAATAGGCATTTCTGAAAAAAAAAAAAGAGTATTCAGGGGGTCTCACACACACAGAAACATCTAACTTTTAAGATGATTTAAGAATTATTGTGAAAGAATGTTACAAGCACACTAAAGACAACGCCTCAACCAGTAATTGTAATTTCTGTGTTAGAAAAGTTGTGACACCAAAAGTGCTCAAAGTAGTACTCATATTGTATGCAGTTAATATTCGTAGTTGCCAGGCAAGTTTTGCATCTGTAAAACTGCAGGAAACATGAAGTCTTGACAGAGTCCAAGAGATTCCCAGCCAAACTTATTGACTGTCAAGGGATATAAGATACCTGAAGGCCTTGAGAACAAAGAATCATAGAATCGTTAGGGTTGGAAAGGACCTTAAGATCATCCAGTTCCAACCCCCCTGCCATGGGCAGGGACACCTCACACTAAACCATGTCAAAGGCTCTGTCCCACGTGGCCTTGAGCACCACCAGGGATGGAGAATTTACCACTTCTTTGGGCAATCCATTCCAGTGCCTCACCACCCTTACAGTAAGGAACTTCTTCCTTACATCTAACCTAAACTTCCCCTGTTTAAGTTTGAACCTGTTATCCCTTGTCCTATCACTACAGTCCCTGATGAAGAGTCCCTCTCCAGCATCCCTATAGGTCCCCTTCAGATACTAGAAGGCTGCTATGAGGTCTCCACACAGCCTTCTCTTCTCCAGGCTCAATAGCCCCAACTTTCTCACTCTATCTTCATATGGGAGGTGCTCCAGTCCCCTGATCATCCTCGTGGCCTCCTCTGGATTTGCTCCAGCAGCTCCATGTCCTTCTTATGTTAACGACACCAGAACTGCACATGGTACTCAGGTGGGGTCTCACAAGAGAAAGTAGATCCTCCAAATGGACCTTTTTATTTCTCTATAAAGACTCCCCATAAGTAACCCTGGTGTCCAACCAGCCAGGCAAGGCTGTTGGACCCTCTTCTGGGTACTTAAGACCAGACTGTTCCACATTGCCTTGCCCCATGTCTTGCTCTGCAGTTTGGCCACAATCTCACTAAAATAAGTGGAACCTCAGCAAGTAAGAACTGATACCAAAATGTGGAAGGGGCAGTTACATCTCGTTGAACTGCTGATAGTAACATTCCGATCCACCTAAAATGCACTGGGAGGTGCTACTTGAGCCCTGCTATCAGGTATCTAAGAGGCTGCTGCACCATGTAACAGGGGTATCTTTTTGCCAAAATCCTGTCCCTAACAACTGGCAGAAAAAAGATAGCAAAAAGGAGGGAATTTTCCCATGAGGGTCAATACCAAGGTCAGACCTTTTCACATGCTTGGCCGATGGAGGAGCCTTCCAGATGGCTGAGCCTCTCATCTGTCCCTATGAAACTTGCTATTTCAGCAATAGCCGAGAGCTGTATGCTTCAAAAGGAACCCCAAGGAACAAGTCCGAACACTCTCTGTCAGCTGCACAGTTGTTCCAGTTATTTTGTCGGAGCTGTTTTCCTAGGATAAATGTATGTCCATGGTTCACCAGTGCTGCGTTCACGGGCACCAAGGGGTATGTGCTGCTCACAGCCAGGGTGTTTTTCCTCCTCTCCCTGTCTCTGCCTCATTCTGTTTAATTTTTAAGCCCTGTTTGCTCAGTTTCCTAGTCAAAACAGGCCTTTATTTTTCTTCTCTAGGATGTGCAGATCTAGTGCAAGTAGTTAAGAGGAGCAAGCTGTCCTCCCTCCCCAACATCAATACCCTCTTTGCCAACAATAATCATTCTACATGGGGAGTTTTTCTCTTATCTGCTGATGCAGGGTGGGAGGGGTGTCAGTGATGGGATATGCCACCTCTTGATGTTTTCTGGGGTTTTTTAAATGCCACATTTTAACCTATGAGATTAGGGAAGGAATTCTTCACATTTGTTTGCAGATCTGCTGGCAGCTGCCCCTTCAGCTCTGGCACACACCTTTCAGCCTCAGCTTTTGCACACTGGGTGCATTTTGGCTTTCACACCCATACCACCCTTTAACTCACAAAAGGGTATTTCTTCGCCACCACCAAGTGAAGTTTCAACTTCTTACATAGAAATGCTTTTGCTTAACTGGCCCACTGACCATGACAGGAACCCTTAAGGTAGCAACTCAGCAGAAAATGTTTTCATAACTCCCTCTTTATCTGCAATGTAACCTTGCGGGTACATATACTGGCTTCAGCCATTGCTCAGAAGTGCTCAGAATATGTAAGATGAGGCAGCTGATGCTATTGGGAGGAAAAAAAGGCTTTCTTGCCTTTCCCTTTTTCCCTTGTCTCCTTCCCTTAAATTGTGTTACCTCCCTCAGGTGACACAAAGATTTCCTTCAAGACAAATGCATCCCTTTGATGAGAAACTTGAAGGAACTTGTGCAACAGTGACTCTTAGCCCAGACTGGAGACTTCTATTAATTTAACTTGATTTTATCAAATTCTGGGGTGTCTTTGAAACTAAATTCAGTTTGTGAGTTACTTTGCAAATAGGACATCGGTGGGGAATAGTCACATCTACCAGTGCAAGCAGGAATCAAAATCCTTATTCATGGAGCAATCCTCAATCATTTTATTTTCTTAATATCGATGAAAATAATCAAGCTACTTCATTCAGCTTTAGGGTGTTGGAACTAGATGATCTTAAGGTCCTTTCCAATCCTAACTATTCTATGATTCCCCCTTCTGCAAGGCTGACAGTCTAACCACTTCACCAGCAGCACTGCCAGTTCAGCATTGTTCAAGGTAATGGGGCTGTACCTCTTCAGAGAGAAAGTAGGATGGTTAGATGTGTGATTGTAAAGAATCTAAGTTGCTTTTGTGATCCAAAAGGTTTCTGGGATATATTACCTCTTATTCTCTTTGGTAAATCAACCCTGCTTCAGCAACATTTTATGTCATGGTTGTTAAGTTCTTTTCATAGAGCTCTGGGGTTTCCTCCAGCTGATCAATGATAGATTGAACAGGGAGGCTGAATACAATGTACAGAATAGTCTGCTCACTTCACAGATGGCTGATGTTGAGCAAGAATTTGTTGTGAGGCACTTCTGATGGAGTTTTGGAACCTGGAATCAAAACTCAGTCCTGCCAAGGGGAGTTTTGTGTCTGGCTGGGAACAACCCTGAATGATAAATAGTTTATAATAGTAATGATAATAGTGAAGTTCAAGCTGACAGGTGGGGACAACGGCACCTTTTACATGAAATACCAGCACGGTTTCTTTCCCCCTCAATGTTACATACTGCTTTCTCTAGATATCACCCTCACAGACTGGTACCTCCCTCAGACCTCACTGGGACAGGGCTAGCAGATGATGACGTCTTTCTCCTGCCATGCACTGGGAGCTGTTGAGAGACCCTCGGTTCATAATAAATGCCAATTATGATTGACAGTGGACTCACACTTCCTTGGTTTAATAGCCAATCCAGGTAGCACTGTCAATTCCCTCTAGACATCTCTGTGCCTTAGCAATTCTCCTTCCCTTCAGCACAATGAAGAAATGTGCCTTGCTTTGATTTGGTTGTGGGGCAGAGATCCAGAGAAGAGCTTTGATTTATTTTGCCTGTGCTCATGAGTGGTGGCACTGATTTCCTGCCTGGTCACTCCTCTGAGCCCTTTCCTCTACCAAGGGCCCCCCACTCTCTCCCCAGCCACAACTGGAAAGCACAGCTTGTTCATACCGGATCTGTAATTAAATCCAATCTGATCCTTTCTGGCTCTTGAACCCCTTCTTTGCTCTCTCTCAGTCCAAGGTTTGTGTACACAGGCTGGCTTAGCCCTGGGTAAATACAGCAACTTTATATTTTCTCAGGCCAAGAAAGCAAGGTGGGAAAGGCACAACAACATATTTCACTCACTTGCAACTCCCCCACCAGTATCAGAATATTTTGCAAGCACTTACTTATTACACAGTAAGTCACTGACACCCACTGTGTCTGTTTTTTGTTCCTCCTCCCTCACCCCAAGTTCTCCCAGCTCATCAAAATCTTCAACTCGCTGGGTCCTGAGAAGTTTCCCCTTGTGGACCAAACATTCTTCCCAAGCCATAAGCAGATGGTGAGTACCTTTGCTTTCTTCTGATGCCACCATAGATGGGGGAGAAGCAACAAATACAAGCTGGGCACGAGAGGTGGCAGTGGGAATGCTGGGAAGAGTCTCAATTTTACTTACAGGGAGTTACTAGCTAAAAAGCAATATGCAAAAGTCACTGCTGTGGAACCTCTTTCCTTTCTTGCCCAGCCCTCCCCAGGTCATGTATGAACCCTGAAAAAGTGAAAAATGAGAACAGGCTTGAAACCAAAGCAAAAATTGCTCGTAAAATCTAGTCAACAAAAGCTCATCCCTTAGAGAAAGAAATCATTCCGATAAAGTGGACTTTTTCCCCTCCTGGAATTGTTTAAAATATGTTGACGATTCGGGACATGGGCCATATGAGGTGTTTCTTTCACAATGTCAGTTTGCTTGGTCTATCTGTCACATGATTGCCATCCATGAAACATTTATCAGCCTGACTAGGGTCTCAAAGTAAAAACAGTAAAAAACAGTTTGTTTCAGCTTGTAATAGTCCTTTGCACAGTGGCTCTGGGGTCTATTCTTCCTGTCAACATCTAAACACTTAGTGTCCTGTGTGCCTGCTGGGCACTGTACCAAACCCCTGCAAAGATACCTGCCTAGGTGCCTTTAGTCCTGGGCAACATGGCAAAGCGAGTGGCTTTGTTTAAAACTGTTCCTGCCTCTTGTTTTCCCTGGGTTAAAAGGATGACTAATCCTTCATGAATTTTCACTCCCAACTTGGGAAAAATCCCACTGGTGCTCCCTATGTACCTGAATACCTTGAAGTAACAGTCCATCTCCCTGCTCCAATACTCTGTTCTCTACCAATGCTGTGTGGACAGCAGCGCTTCCGTATTTCACAGGCACATCACAAAGGTAAGTGCAGTCATGTACATACACTGCAAGAAACACAGTGGTATGAGCTGTGTTACTCAAGATATGGATGGTCCTTCAACACTACGTGACAGTTTGTTGCAAACATTTAAGACAAAATAGTTGATAAATCCTGTTGTATATAATTCCTGCTGATTTATGAAGAGGGGTTTGTGGCATGCGATGCTTCAGGACACTTATGATTTTTGTGACCATTACTTTGGGAATGGTAATTTTGAAAGAGTTGATTAAGGTTTTTGTTGCAAATATATTACCCAGCACTTCTAGCATAATTTTCTTGTCTGGGAATACTGTTCTTGATTCCTTGGCATGTAAACACATTTGTTACCAGCCTAGTAGTTTGGTTTATCAGAGTATTGATCTTAACTCCATATATTTATTATCTTTATAACTGATCAAATACCTGCAGATGCTATTGCTTACTTCCAAAAGAATACAGGAATGTTTTGAAACTGTAGATAATGTCATATGAATGCAAACATTATAGTGGACAAGCATGTTTGAGTAATCTTGTTTAAACCAATCACTTTCCAAACATTTACACAAGCAACACTCCACTTCAGCAAATTCAGGCCAGCCTTTTCCAGGTTGGGGGTGTTTACCTCATAGAATGAATCTACACAACTTCTCTAGATCTTATCTGGGGGCACCTTCACAGCATCTCGGGCTGTGAGAGGCTGAGGGGGCAAATGCTTACACCAAGTAAACTCCGCTGCAGTCATCCTCCACCAAGCACCTCTGAAAGTTGCTTGCTGCTGCGCATCAACTTCTCCATGTGTCAAATAGGAATATAATGATCCCTCTTTCCCACTCTTTTTCTTCCCTTTCCTGGAGGCATTTTCAAGCTGTACCAGTTAGCACTCATAAAATACGATGTGGTCCTTTGATGGCTGACCCCCTGGAAGTGTTTATAACTAGTGTTATGGTTTTACCTCTTTGCAACGTGATAAACTTTAAGCAATGGAGGTCTCACGTAAGACATCCTCATCCTTCTATGTCCAAAACATTCCAAATCTTACTCTTAAAACCTTTAGATTAAACATAGAACATATCAAAAATCTGTTTCATTCTTTCATCCATGTAGAGACTTTCCTATAGTAAAAGTGAGATAAAGGAAATTTCTAAGAGTAGGGACCTTTCTGTAAGCATTTTAATTTAGTTGAAAACGCTTTTTCTGAAGCTTCCAACTCGAGACAACAGCGCATTTTTAACCAGCCTTAAAACAGCAAGCCTAAAAAGCGCACACAAGACTTTGACATTCCACAGCAGAGAAGATCTGAAAGATGAATCTTTCTTTCCTTTGCCACGGGCACACACCATTTAACCTTCCCCCCAGTGATCTGTCTACTGGAATTAACAGCAATCTGGCAACTGTTCTTCCGAGGGCCTACTGGTGCTACATGACAGCCATAATGACTGCCTTGCTCTGTAGTGACCCCCTATGGTCAGTTAACAAGTGGGATACATTAACTTCAAACGGGGTATTTCACCTCTCCTGAGCTTATGACCCCAATAACAATTCTTAAATCAAGCTCCTAAAAAGAGGGAAGGACTGCTGGAAGGATCTTTACCAAAGTGCAAGAGTTGCCAGAGGTGGAGTATCTGCTCTGGGTCCAATAAAACGGTATCACAAAAGGGAAGGAAATTAATAAATCCACTTACAAATCTGTTTGTGTACACTTGAAGTGGACAGAAACTAACAGAAGTGAAGCAGAGACAGAATGTCTGTGATAGAAATAAAACCACTTTACTGTTTAGAATAAAAGGACACTATAAAAAGTGAACATTATGCAACATTACCTTAAAAGACAATATACATTCACTGAATATAAAATTTATAAATAACATGGAGGAAAACTGTAAACAGTGCTAGAAAATTTAGCAACAAATACATTCCTTCTGGACAAGATTTTTCACACGGGTTTGGTTCCCTCCCCAAGTTTCCATGACTATCAGGAACAGCAGAGCAGCTCTATGAAGGAAGGACAGTGACAGAGAGAAGGAAAAGCCAGTACAGGCAAAGCAGCAGCAAATGTTTAGTGGATTGCAAAGATTGTTCTCAAGACTGGTAGCCCCAAAAGCCACTTATTCTAAAAAAGACAAGAGTTTTGCAGTTCACTAAATTTTGTTCTGCCCTTCTAAGCTATAAAATACATAGCAAGTGAGATACACTTTCAGAGACATCTGAAAGAATAGAAACTTGTTCCCATGGAGCCCTTTACTTCAAACAGTCTTTACTGTAAAAAACACAACAGTATGCTGCCCTTCAATGTGAGGTAGCATTTCACTTCAGCCAAGTATGAATGGGATACAGCCACATAGATTTAGGTTTTAGAATAGTCCTGCCTGAAGGGCCATATAACTCTTCAAAACATGGGAAAGTTAGACCTAAACGGCAATTCTGTCCTATGCAGGGGAGGCAGAAGCCTCGCACAGGAGAACTGTATTCAAGGTACTCCACACACAAGTCTCCCTTTGCCCCCTACCCCCTCCATTTCGGAAAAGGCAAATCAAATCCCATCTTTCCCAAACAGTCAATATATTTTTTCATAGGTTTTTTATAATTCTAAAGGGAAAAACACTCCAAAGGAAATATCTGTAAATCAGAAAGCCATCAGCAACAGTCTAGAAATGAGCTATGCATTTTAAAAAGTACTTTTAATAACGTTGGTATATCTAAAGCATGGAGGGGGGAAGCCCTAATTCTGTATGTGTCCAAAGGTCATGCTCACATGAGCTGTGCCACTGAGTCTGACCTTAGGCTACGGGGCGAAGTGAGGAGCATGTCAGAGGTGACAGGAAGATACCTGTGCTGCTGCAAAGCATTGTATGCCCCACAGCCTAACAGTCTGGGGAGAACTTCACACCTGCCTCCTCACATCACCATGCCTCGTGTTCCCGCATATCGCATGGTCCACTGTAAGGAGGGACAGAGTTTTGTCCATTGGCAGGCAGAAGTGACTTAGCAAGACAGAAAAAAGGAGAGCAGATAGAAAGGAAGAAGTCTTTCAGTCTGATTTAGAGCCTCTTCAATCCATTTAAAGGCCCCATCCCATTTCAAGGGAGCCTTCATTCAGATTCTTAACAGAAGCACAATCTAAAGCTTAGCCCAAGAAACCGATGTCCCTGATAGCGTGCACAGAAACAAAATCAAGAAGCCTCCCAAAAGAAATGTATTTTTACTGGATTCTACCCCCTCCTTTTGGCTCCACATTTTTAAAAGCCTTAGCAACTGTTTCTTTACACAGCAAGGGGAAAGATTTGCTACCAAATCCCTACCCCTGCTGTTCAAGCTGTCTGCATCTCAGAAATATTTCACCATCTGCAATATAAAATGGGAATACACTTCATTTTCTGGTAATGCATCTGCTGGTTTGTTGTTTACAAAGCACATAGCTATATTATATCCTACTTAGGGACACATGTCCTCTTAGTACTAGAATGCAAATATTCTCACAATAATTTGAGTGCAATACTGTGATGTCTCAGCTTAGCTAAATGGATCAGTGATAGGTAAAATATGCAGAGCTGCAGTATAATGAAAATTCAAATCAACACTTCACTGCACCGAGGGGCATTTTCATTTAGCCTTCCAAAGCCATGAAAGGTGGCTGCAGCTCAAAGAGACGTCAGCTTTGCAATGTCATCTTGAGCCTGAGGATGGCCATCTCTGGCGATGCTGACTCCACACGATGCAAACAGTGAGGGTGACTCCACTCCATCCTCAGTGACTCTCAGAGATTTTGTCAGCTGTGCACAGCTTGAACAGAGATTGTCCCATTATGACCAAAGCCCAGGCTTGTACTCTGCCAAAAGAGGCGACATTCTGACCCACAACATGATCCTATGCAATTTAGGAGTAGTCACTGGGAAGAGGACTTCTGAAAAGTGTTCCAAGCCTGAAGCACAGGAAAATCCAACACTTTCAATGTCTATGGTGCTGTGTTGCCACTAAGCAGCTTGAAACAAAAAACACACAGCAGATCTAGGCACCTCTTACACCAACTCTTTGAAAATGCCCCTTAAAGTTCATGTCAAACATGAAGCTACATGCTTTTTCCTGCAACAATCATCTAGTAAATGGGGCATTTCAGAGGATGTAGGAACAT